CTTTTCTCTTGAAAAATGGTTCCTGCCAATCTTGGTGTTTACTGAAGTGGTTATTAAGCATTTTTCCTGCTGCTAGTCTGGGTACTTCTTGATAAACATTATCTATTTAAGAAGAACTTTTAGGGAGAGTTCCACTCTGCCCCTACACACACACACACACACACACACACACACACACACACACACACACACAGAGTGTCTGGGCATGACAGTCCAGGTCCCAAACCCTCCTCTCCAAGCTGGTTGTGGTCAGGCCACCACTGAACGTATCACTTGACCTGATGTGACAGCCTGGTCTCCTCTTCGCCCCTCTGGCTAACCTCCTCTGGACACTGGAAGTGGCTCCACCTTTGAGCTGCACACAGCTGCCAGTTGTGCCTCCCAAGGCATTCCAGGGCTGCTCTGCTAAGAGCATCTGCTTGGCTTTGCCCTGCAGCAGGGTTGAGGGAGGGGAGGTGGCTCGTGTGCATCGGGGGACCCTCCTATGTGTCAGTGCTAAGATCCTACGTGCATTTCTCCAACCCTCCTGAACTGGAGGGCTGGGGTTCTGGGTGGCACTGAAGTCAGGTGAGGCCTGGATAGGAGGACAGGACACTGAGGAACAGGAAGAAAGGCGACATGGCTGGAACACACTTGCCATGGGTGGGCTGGGGGTCTGGGGGCTTGATTGAAATTGGGCATCTGTGTTAGCAGTGGGTGTCCGAGCCCCACCCACCCAGGCATGGCAGGGCATGAGACACTGAGCTGTGCCCAGTTTCTGTGGCTTCCCATACGTGCCAAGTGCAAGATGGGCTGCTAGTGAGCTTGGCTACTTTGGGCGAATCCTCCCCTCTCTGGGCCTCAGTTCATTCATCTGGGGACTAAACGGGGTGGGCTCCATCCCTACCCCCACAGTCCAGGATTTCCAGAGAGCATGGATCTCGTGGACACTCCACAGGCTGAAAATCCTTCAATTTAGGAGCTGCTGCTGCCGCCCTGAAAACCGAGCCAAGCTCACTTCCAAACGAGAGTCCCGGGTGGATAAATTGTCCAGGGCCTCACCCTGTGTCTGTCCTAGGTCAGTGCTGTTTAAAATGTAGGTGCTGTTGTTATTTAGGTCTGATGTGGCTAACAGACCAGGCCATGGACAAGACAGTTTATTACTCACAGCCCTGAGAAAGGCCCAGACCACACCATGCAGGCCACACGGGGAAGCACCAGGGCTGGCCAGAGGCAGACGGAAGTGGAGCCCGGCAGGAGCCTTTCCTGTGGCTTCCGTGGGAAGGACTGGGTGGGATACGCAGGTTTAGGATTGCTAGTTTGAATAATTTCAGAGGGCTCTGGGGAGAGGGGTTGTCCCAAGATATCTGGCAGTTGGCCCTGGGGTGATCAGGGCAGGTGCACAGTGGCCCAGGGTGAGAGAGCGTGATAAAGGAGGTGACTAGGGTGTGGGCTCTGGACTGGCTGGCTTGCATATGAAAGGCCCTTTAGAAGGTGAGCTGTTTGCTACGTGTAGGAATTACCTAACCCTGGGAGGGGCAGTCCCACCAGCGTCTGGAAGGCCCCAAGATGTCAAAGCATCAGAATGCAGAAAATAAAAGGCATGGTTAATAGACACACAATGAAATGTGCGTTGTGTGTAATTTATTGTTATTATTTTTTGAGATGGAGTTTTGCTCTTGTTGCCCAGGCTGGAGTGCAATGGCACGATCTTGGCTCACCACAACTTCTGCCTCCCGGGTTCAAGTGATTCTCCTGCCTCAGCCTCCCGAGTAGCTGGGATTACAGGCATGCACCACCGTGCTCATTTTGTATTTTTAGTAGAGACGGGGTTTCTTCATGTTGGTCAGCCTGGTCTCCAACTCCAGACCTCAGGTGATCCTCCCACGTCGGCCTCCCAAAGTGCTGGGATTACAGGTGTGAGCCACTGTGCCTGACCTATTATTATTATTTAATTTAGAGACTACTAAAAATATTTTTTAACAGATGGGGATCTCACTATGTTGCCCAGAGTAGAGTTAATTGACTACATTTTAGAGAAGTTTTAGACTTACAGAAAAATTGAGTGGAAAATACAGTGTTCCTGTATTACCCTCCCCACTGCCAACATACACACTTTCCCTATTGCTGAGGCCTTGCGTTAGTGTGGCACATTCCTTCCAACTGAACCAGTGCTGGTACGTTGTCATTAACTAGGGTCCACAGTTTACATCAGAGGTCACTCTTCGTGTTGTACACTCTGTGGGTTTCAGCAAACACACAATGCCCTGTGTCCACCGTTCTAGTAAGTTACAGAATCATTTCGTTCACCAAAACCCCCTGTGCTCCACATAGTCGTCCTCCGTTCCCCTCCAAACCCTGGTGGCCACTGATCTTTTTACTGTCTTCATAGTTTTACCTTTTTTTTTTTTTTTTTTTTTTTTTTTTTTTTTTTTTTTTTTTTTTTTTTTTTTTTTTTTTTTTTTTTTGAGATGGAGTCTTGCTCTGTCACCCAGGCCAATACACAGTGGCACGATCTCAGCTCACCGCAACCTCTGCCTCCCTGGTTCAAGCGATTCTCCTGCCTCAGCCTCCTGAGTAGCTGGGACCACAGGCACATGTTGCCAAGCCCGGCTAATTTTTGTGTGTATATATATATATGTATATTTTTAGTAGAGATGGCGTTTCGCCATGTTGGTCAGGCTGGTCTTGAACTCCTGACCTCAAATAATCCACCCACCTTGGCCTCCCAAAGTGCTGGGATTACAGGTGTGAGCCGCCGCACCCGGCCCACAGTTTTACCATTTCCAGAATGTCACAGAGTTGGAATCATACGGGATGCAGTCTTTGGAACTGGCTTCTTTCACCTAGCAATATGTGTTTACATTTCCTTCCTTGTCTTTATGTAGCTTGATAGCCCATTTCTCTTTCTCTCTGAATAATACTCCATTGTCTAGACGTATCACAGTTTAAATGTAATGTTTATCCATTATTACTATTTTTAAAAAATGACAATGGCCTCTGTGGTGAGGGCTGGGCTCCAGAAGTATTCAGACAGTCTAGGGTGGAGGCCCAATGAGACAATTCCAATGAGACAATTATCTGGGCCCTTAGGCGCAAGGTCAGACACTGAAGGTGGGAGTGATGGCTGGGCTTGGAGAATCTGGGCAATTGTTTCTATCCCGCTCTTCACCTGCAGGCAGTGCTGTCTATATCTGGCTTTATTTTTTTTTTAAGAAAGGCCTTGTAGCCGGTGGTGACCCAGGGATACCCCCCTTCATCAACAGGCCCTTGGGCAGGAAAATCCCACACAGGAGAGGCAAGAGGGCTCTCCAAGCTGGCCAGAATCGAAGCACCCTCTGCTTGCCTGAGCAACCACCACCAACTTTGGGAGGTTAAACATCCAGGAGAAAGGTGCCGCTGAGCCAGGGGCTCCAAAGCTGTCCCCAGGGACCCCTGGTAGCCAGGGCTGGCCTGTAGAGCCTCCTGGCCCGTATGGTGGGCCTTGGGCTGCGGTGAATGGGGGCGAGCCCCCTGCCGTGCAGCCGACTGCCTGCCCCAGCCCTCCTCAGAATCCCTTTTCTTTCCAGACATAAACGAGGCCCACCCAGAGTCTGGGACAGGGTTTGCTGCTCCTACGCAGGCTGCTGGCCCATGTGGCTCTCAGACAGGGCGTCTGCTCTCCTCTTACTTCACAGCGGGACACTGCATTGGCCCGGCCTGGCCTGGCCTGTTCAGATGTGTGTGTGTATGTGTGTGTGTGTGTGTGTGTGTGTGTGTCTGCAGAGGGGGCGGTGCTGTGGACGGCCTCTCCTCCCTCTCCAGAGCCATGCAATCAGGACCCACATGTCTGTTGGGGAATCCTATTGCTGTGAGGACCGAAAGGGAGGGGGTACTCAGGCCTCGGGCACACCTGATTTTCTGCCACGCCCAGCTTGCTTCAGTGTGTCTGCCTCACTCATTGGTAGTGTCTGACACAGCCCTAGCTCCTGGAGTCTCAGAACTGCTTGAGGCTAAATGAAAGTCAGAATCAGCCAGCAGAGTGATCAGGAAATACTGGCCACTTCATCTTCTCACCCGCGACACTCAGAAACAGCCCCAAACACACGCCCCAGCTGTCATACATCCCGGCTGGTGTTGGACAGACACCTCAAAGGCTTCCGCAGTTCTCAGAGGTCACAGGAGCAGCTGGCAGGTGGCTGCCCTGCCCAGCAAGCAGGCGTGTAGAACCGTGCAGATAATTGAACACCCGAAGTTAGGCACCTGCTTCAGTCCTGGTGCCTCTCCTTCTCAACCTGGTTGACAGTCCCCTTCTTCCAGGGAGACAGCCCTGATTCTGTTCAAACCTGAGCACTCGTTTATTGCCTAACCTTAGCTGGTGAGGGTGATCTGGCTCCCCTTGGTTATAAACGCATTCTTCCATCACATCTTCGCCCCGGTGCTCTGCTGGCTGACCTTGTCCTTGAGGGAAGGTGAGGAAAGAATCAGATGTCCTGTCCTCGGCGCCTGCTGGCCCAGGGCATGGTGCTGCCGGTTGCATGGACATCCACATGCTTCTGGATAATGAACGCTTCTGTTTTCTCACGGGTCAAAAAAGTGAAGAAACGAGGGGGCTGGCCTCCCTGGAAGTCAGGGGCCCATCCTGGAGTCATCTGGGCTTTTCCTGCAGGACTTGGCGGCATGGAAGGTGCCCGTGAGCAGGAGGGATCGTGCTGTGACTGTTTTTTGCTGACAGTTGCCCAAAGCCGAGTGGGCTCCCGAGCCTGCTGTGCTGAGAGGAGCTGTGCACCCAGAACACCCAGATGCCTCTGTGAAAGTGAGGACAGGGAGTCCCGGGGTCCTGGAATGGCCAGTGCCGGCCTGGAAGGGAGGCAGCTTGCCTGAGGCCCTGGACTCCAGGCTGGGTGCGGCCCAGGCTCCACACTGAAGGCAAGGGTGGCTGCTTTCTTTCACCGCACTCAGTGAGACTGGCCGCTCTGCCCGCTCCCTGTCCCCAGGGCCCTCCCCTCTCTCGCAGGCTTTAATGTCTTCTCTTTCTGAAGGGCGGAGAAGAGAGGTCAGCCTTTGGCGGAGAAGAGAGGTCAGCCTTGACCACAGCATGAAGACAACAGGAAGCGTATGAGCAGCTCTTGGTGGTGGAGACCTCAGGAGGGAGGAGTCGGCTTTTCATATTTACCAAGGACTCATTCTCCCCTCCCTGTCATTGGGGCATGAAGTAGTTCCATTGTAAACTCGTCTGGTGGTAGAGTCAGAGGCTGGAGCTCAGAGCCTTGGGAGCCTCCTGCCGCTGCCTTGCTGTGTGTCTCCGGGCAGGTTGCTTCCCCTCTCTGAGCTCACCAGCAACCAGACTCAGATAGTCTAGAGGACGGATGAGTGCTCCCCTGGTTCTTCCAGGGGACACTGGGGGGACATGGGCAGCCCCGGAAGGAAACTTGTTCCTTGAGCTTTGATACATATTCTGAGATCTGAACCTGCAGGTGGAGGCCAAGGAAAAAACCTAGTGAGCCCGGGGTGGGGTGTGCAATGGCGTCCAAGGATGTGGAGCAAGAAGACAAGGCATAGACCAGGCCTGAGCCGGGGCCTCAAGTTCCCTTAGCCCTACCTCAAGGGGGGCTGAACTGCTGCCTAGTGACTGGGGCTGGAAACTGGCATCGAGCCTATGCCATCCATTCGTCATGGTTTGCTGTAAATAGAATCATATTGTTCACTATTTAGTACACTGTAAATAAAATGGCAGTAATATTTTCATTATTAACAACTTGGACACGGTGCTAGTGACTGTGTGTGTGTCTTCCCATTCACTTTTCACAATAATGCAATGAGGTGGTATTGACATTATCATCATTCTACAGACTGAAGATACCAGGGCTCAGAGAGGTCAAGTGACTTGTCCAAAGTCACACAGCTGCTAAGTGGCAGAACAGGATTTGAACCCAGGCCTATACTGCCTTTTAATAAAAATAGTGAAAAAAAGACCTGAAGGAATATTCACTAGATAGCCCTCCATTAGGGCACTGTGGGGGAGGCTGAGCTGGTAAGCCCAGCTGGCTACAGCTAGTTGTCCCCAAAGAGGTCACTTGAGCTTCACACCTGGAAAAAGGAGAAATCTGCCCGTGTAGCCCTGGCTATTCTCTCTCCAGCATCTGGCCTGGGCCTGGCTGGCAGGCTTACAAAAAGAATGTTTAACTTTACCCAAGGACTCGCTCCAGGGTTTCCTTTGCAGAAGGACTTGGACCTTCAGTCATTAAAGGGATTTAATTTTCAAGCTGAGACATGAGTGTGAACATTTCAGATACAGGTTTTTTGTGTGTGTGTAAAGCAAGAGATGCATGGATCGGTAGAGGTGAGTGGGGTGCCAGAGGATGGGCCCGACAGGGACAGGCTCCAGAGAGGAGAGAGGACAGTTGTGACTAGAGAGTGGGCGCCTCTTGTGTGTGTGTGTGTGTGTGTACACTTGCAGGCACGTGTGTGTGTTCATGCCTGCATGTGCACGTGCACATTGGTGTGCATAGGTGCATGCACTGGTGTGTGTGTATGTGCACATGTGTGGTGGCTTTCTGTTGTCATTGTGGAGGGGGCTGGGGGGTTGCAAGGCTGCAGCACTGTCCAAGGCCATGCAGCCATGTTGTGGCAGAACAAAGCGCACACGGGGTCTCTGGCACACGGGAGCCAAAAGCCCAAATAAATAAAGCGAGCAGTCCAGGCTGCAAATAGATGCAAGCCTGAGGAGCCCCCAGGTGGCTGCCAGCTCCCTTCCCAAGTGGAGTCCTGGCCCTGGACTCAGGCAGGAAGAGGCCCACCCCAACCTTCATGCAGGGCCAGGGCCTGGGCCAGGACCTGGAGCCCTTCTCAGAGAAAATCCTTTCTTAGCCAGCTGCTGCCTATTGCATTGATTCCACCACCATTAAACTCCCTCCTTTCTGTGGCCAGTAGACCTGACCTTTAAGACTTTCCACGGCTTAGGGCAGAAGGTGGTTTGCTCTGGTGACTGGGCTGAGGTTTTCTGGGCTCCTCCTATTCTCTAGTTGGCCTTCACTTCCCATCTCCAAGGTGTGAGCAGAGACACTAGGGTAAGCAGGGACACTAGGACTCTGGACAGCTGCTGGGTGGTTTTAGAGTCTGTGGAAACTTCATGTGGAGTCTCCCTGAAGCATTGTACCTGTCTTTCCTCACCCTCTTGCTTAACCTCTTTCTCTGCAGTTTCAGGGAGTATCCTGAGCAAAGGGTCCATTCACCCATCTCCACCCATCCATATGCTCTTTCTTCCTTCTATCTGTGCACCCATTCATTCATCTGTTCATCCATTCATCCATCTTTCCTTCCTTCCTTCTATCCATTCACCCACTTATCCATCCATCTGTCCATTTATTTATTTACAAATGGACATCCTTCCACATTTTCTTCCACCCTTCCTTCCATCCACTCACCCATCTCCACCCATTCACCCACCCATCCATCTATTCATCCATATTTCCTTCCTTCTTTCTACTCATCCACCCATTCATTCATTCATCCATCCATTGACCCATCTACCCATCCATCTATCCATCCATATTTTATTCAACCCTTCCTTCTATCCACCCATCCATTCATTAATCTGTGCATCCATCCACCCATACACGCTATCTTTCTTCTCTTCCTTCCTTCTATCCATCCACGCACTCATCCATCTGTCCATTTATCCATCTATTCATCTATCTGTATTTCCTTCCTTTCTTTCATATACCCACCCACCCATCCTCCACTCATTCATCCATCCATCCATCCATCCATCCATCCACCCATCCACCCATCCTCCATCCATTCATCCATCCATCCATCCATCCATCCATCCATCCATCCATCCATCTACCCTTCAACCATCTATTCATTCATCCACCCATCCATCCAGCCATTGACCCATTGATTGGTTTCTCTGTAAAGCATTGATGCTACCTGGTGAAGGGTTCATCTGGTTCCCATCCCTACTTTGCTTGCTCTTTGATGTAGGACACAGATCCAGGCAAAGACAATTCTGAGAGAGCAGAGCTGTAGGAGGAAAAGTGCCAGCCGTTGCGGGAGCTCAATGCAAGGGCTCCATGCTGAGAGGCATTTGCTTTTCAACTCCTGAGTGCTGATCAGGGTGGGGTAGCGCTAAAGGGGACTATGCTATCTGACCACGTTGCCTACCCAATTCCATTGTGTGCATGCGGGCAAGTAATTCACCAATGTGAGTTGGTTTAGAAGCGAATGGAGAATGCATGAGGCAACAGGATATAATTGCGATAATGAGAACAATAATGGGATGGTCATCACTTACTGAGTGCCTACCGTGTGCTAGCACCATGCCAAACACCAGACCCAGATTCTTTCATTTAATTCTCTCAACAATCCCATTTTACAGAAGAGGAAGTGGAGGTTCAGAGGAATTAAGGTGATTGCTCTGATCTGAGGTCAGAGCCTGGGAGAGTTCAGGTTCTACCACCGTCACAAGCTGTGTGACCTTGGCCAAGGCTGTTAACTGCTCTGAACAGCAATTTCTTTATCAAAAAAGAAGCATTTGCCATGGAATTGTGGTTCTTCATCTTTTCAAGTCTGTGAACTGCATTTTAATGTCAACCCTTTGAGGATCTCTTCACGTGCGGGCGCTTTTATTTTTAGGTTTCATTGGTTGAGAAAACTCACAATGATAAAAAGCTACTTTGAATTCAGTAGTGGTTTAAAATCAATTTGTATTTGATTATTTGCAACTGCATGCATATACATTTGGAAAATAACCCTGAGATGGGCATTATTTATTCAGGCTACACAAGCAGGATGGGTGTGTGGATCCTGGTCTGTGCATTAAGACTCTGTAGCCTCCCAGGGGTCAGGCCCACATGCCCTCATCCCTTCCAGATCTACATTCTATATTCAATAAAGTGGCCAGCTCCTTCTTCCCTATCCCCTTGGATATCAATGAGGGAAGACAGAAGCAGATAGGACAATGACAGAGAGACTCTGTTGGAAGTTGACTGTGATGCCAACAAGACAGAAGGAGGAAGGGAGAGGGTCTGCAGTGACCCCCTCCACCTTGATGGGCTCCACAATGAGGCTAGTGCCCCAAGAGTCCATTGCCCAGAAGCAGATGGCACAGCCAAGCGGAGTACGGTGTCAGATGCTGGCCACCCCTGTTTCAGGTGAAGGTCTCCATCATGAGTATCTTTTACTCATCAAAGATTGTAATTAGTCCAGGCTGAGAACTGGAGGGACCAATGTGGGATGGGGTGGGGGAGAGTACTGAGGGGACCCCACCAGCCATTCTGAGGGGAGATGGCTGTAGCTGGTGCTGGGCTAGGGGAAAGAACAGGACAGTGCTGACCAGGCACTGGGGGTGACAGGGGCCCTGGGAGTCTGACCCATTCTGCCCAGGGCTGGCTGGTACCACTGATCCAGCAAGCTAAGTTCTCGAGTGGCTCTTCCTGGATGGAAGCCTCTTCCTGGAATCTAGCCAGGTACCTAAGAGGAAGGCGTGGTGGTGGTGCTGGGGCTTTGTACCACGGGACGACTCTTCAAATGCCAGTTTCCTCCGAGATTCCAAAACAGAAAATGCAGAAGGCTCGGAAACACATCAGACTTTCAGTTTATCATTCCTTTCTGGGCTTAGATTTGGGTTAAGTGCACACATCAGCATTCTGGCCTCTCTGGGGAATGGGAAGCAGAGCTAGTCCTGCCTCCCTCTCCCTCTCTTCCATGGTCTCCTTCTCCTACCTCCCTGCTGGCACAGGAGGCTCGGCTCACGATGCAACTGCAGGCAAAGGAGGCTCTGGTGGGGTCTCGACTGCTGGCTCTCCCTTGAGCCCAGGGAGGCTGCCTGTGGCCAGCAGCACGGCTGTTTGTCCAGGGGAGACAGGCTGGGCTTGCACTGCTGGTTTCAGTCTTTTGAAAGTTGCTAATGAGCTGGAGTTGGACTTTGGGTCTTGCAGACCATTTGTTGAATGATTTCAGGATCATACAAACATTCCAATAAAGCAGGTTACAGTTTGGATTTTACTGTGTGCCATGTTAGCATTCAGATACTTCCAAGCAGCTGGCCGTTCCTCCCACCCCATCTAGATGAGCTCCCATAATGTTTTCCCTCACAGCTCCTGGTTCTTTTTCTTCAAGCATGTCTCACAGTTTGCAGTTTCTTGGCCCGTGTGTTTGCGTGTCACTCTCCCCACTGGGGGTGAGTGCCATCAGGAAAGGATTCATATCCATGGCTCTCCAAAGTCAGAGTTTATGGACTGGATGGATGGATGGTTGGTTGGATGGATGGGTGGGTGGATGGATAGATGGTTGGTTGGATGGATGGGTGGATGGGTGGGTGGGTGGATGGATGGATGGATGGATGGATGGATGGATGGGTGACTGGGTATATGGGTGTGTGGATAGGTGTTTGAATTGATGAGTGGTTAGTGAGTGGGTAGATGGGTGGGCTGATGTTTGAATGGATAGATGGATGAATGGATGGGTGGAAGGATGGGTGAGCAGATAGTTGTATGGATAGATGAGTAGGTGGGTGAATGGAAGAGGTAATGGAAGAATGAATGGATGGTTGGATGAGTGGATAGATGAATGAGGAGTAAGTGGGTGGATGGGTGGACAGATGGTTGGATGGATAAATGAGTGGGTGGGCAGATGGGAGGGGTAATGGAAGAATGGAGGAATGATTGAATGAGTGGATGAATGGATGAGGGGTAGGTGATTTGCTTGAGTGATAGAAAGCGTAGAAGTGATACTTTGGGACTGCTGAGG